CTGGCTGTAAAATGCTGTGATTCTGTTGTGTAAGTGCTGGTTATCTCATTCAACTTAGTCTGAGGGAGGGTGGGACCTACCAAGTCTGCACGGCTCAATTACTCGCTGGATAAACCCACTGCTAATCCAGAGTGTATCTTAATACTGAGATCAGATGATAGGTGTCATAAGGCTACACAACTGTAGAGAGCAGAGTGTTTCCACATACATACACAGTTAGTAAATGAGGACTTACAATTTCTTTAGCGCCTTGAAATGGCTCAAAGTACTTGACAGCCATTCTGTGCAACATCCAAAGAGGAGTTTTGAACGTGTAGATAGACCATTGTTGGCTGTGCTGAGTTGCTGTATTGGGGGATTGTGACTCCCACGGCTTGAGTAGCTGGTGAGGATAACCTTTTGAGGTTCAGACATTTCACCCAGATCGGTTCCGGTCAAACTCATCTCCCGCCCGAAATAATTCAGACATTGTTAACTCTGGAAAAATTTCACAGCCGTAGGAAATGGAAAGAAATGATTGATAGGCTTGTTATCCTAAGAAAAATGGACCCAGTCTATAAATGGTGTTTTCCCCCTTTAACACATCCGTTTCCTGGCACTGTTTCTTTTGGCTGAGATCCATGAAATTACAAAACATCATCTTGCCCTTCAGTTGCTTGAGGCAGAATTAAAACTGCTGGAAATCAAGAAGAATTTTAATCACTGAGGTTTGTCTTAATACTGCATCTGAACTGACACAGTAAGGATGATTGGTGGATCCCTCTAATGGGGTTGTTTGGTATCCAATCTTTACGCTGTCCTGAAAATTCTTAACAAGTTTTATTAAATATTTTCATGAGCGAGAGGACCCATGTTCAATTCCCGGGCAGGGCGAAACCTTAGGCGAGTTTCCTTACTCCACACACATGCTTCTGTTTACCTACCAATAAGTAAGAACCCGTAAATTATTAGTGGATTTGACGGATCACTTTTCTGGAAGTGATAATCCCTTAAAAAAAATTGGTCACTCAATCCACGACTGTCTGTGGGACACTGCTGTGCGCAATTGGCTGCTGCATTTCGCCCACAAAATATACAGCCAATTCATTTTTACAACATTATGTGAAGTGCTTTCTGATGTATCAACGATTTGATAAGTTGCTATATCAAATATAAGTATTATTATTATTTTTGGGTGCCTCTGTTGGTGTGATTTTACAGGGTGCCACAAGCTGGTCTCAACAGCCCTGTGCACAAAATGGCTACTATGTCTGGCCAATAAAACAGTCACTACACTTGACAAAGACCGTAAAACACTTGAGACTTTAATTGTATGAGGCACTGTGAAAATGTAAGGTTCTTTTCCAAAAGGTTTCGGAAACTTTATCTTCCAGGAAATCATCGATGAACCTTGGCTTTCATCTCTATCAGCCCCTCTTTATGATCATACCCCATTGGCCGGGGCTCACCGTCCACTGAGCAGATAACCCAAGTCTTCCCATCCATCACATTGCCAGAGAGTTCTTGTTAAATGAAAATCTAGTTTGTGAGTCAGAACGAGATCCTGAGCCCAGTATTCATGAGGCTTGAGGCTGGATCATCTCCAAAATGCCTGCTAAACCCATTTCCTTAATAATAGTGAGTGCTCCAGATGGCTTTTGGGGATACAGTGCGATCTATTGACTGATCTTGATTCATGAGCTGTGCTCAAGGCTGCTTTAAAATTTTCTCCTGCTGCCAGCGGGAATGAATTGAATTGGAGTTGCTCATGGGGTAACTTTAGTATCAGAACGTCTCAGCTCCTGAAAGAGCTTATGTGTTTAGTCTCACACCCTTTGTTCTTCCACCCGCCACCCCCCCCCCCCCACCCCCCCTCCCACACCCCCACGTTCCCCCCCCACCACCACCCAAGCCCTTTGAATCAAAAGAATCATAAGCTAATATCAGCTATCAAATTTGTTTTGTGGTTGGAAAGATCTTCAGCCGCAGACTGATCCCTGTAAGGATCTGCTCATCACGGCTGAGGTTGTTGATCCTCAGCACAAGCATTAGAGGGAGGGCTTGAGGAGACATGAGTTTGCACCAGAATTTATCCATCAATCTGAAGTTGAATGGGAAGATCTGCTTCTGAGCCTCCGTTAGCTGCCTCGGGAAGATCCTAATAGTGTGACATTGTGGTTGAAAATGTTTCCTCTTTCAAAAGGGAATTGGATATAGACTTGAAAAGGGAAAGTTTGCAAGGCTATAGGGAAAGAGAGGTGGGGGGTGGGCAGTGGGACTGATTGGGCAGCTCTTTCAAAAAGCCGGCACAGGCACGATGGCCGAATGGCTTCCTTTTGTGCTGTAAGATTCTATGATTTTCTTGCGTGGTATTTCCTAGTTTCCGCTGTCCACAGCTCTGTGATAGCACTAATTGGCCTGAGACACAACTCAGTGTTGGAGAAAAAAAACATCCTTCTCCTTGATGGTCCACTGACGCTGAGCATTAACACACTGTGTGCTTCCCTCGGAGACCACACTTGTTTTGTTTTTCTTTCTGGGTTTCTCAATTCCTCTCCTCAAACCTTCGCTGGGGCATCAGTAAGGTTTGCCAGTCGCTCTCTTGTCACTGGGGGTTCTGGGTTCAAGTCTAATATGGGACTTGAGCTCATAGTGTGGGCTGAAACTCCAGGACATGGCTTTAATTCCTATAATTTTGCTGGGTTGATGTCACAAAATTTCAGTGAGACCCCGTCACAGTCAAATTCCTGCCTTCCATAGCCAGCAGCGAGTCACATGTCTGAGTAAACTCCCAAAAAATGGCAGTGACTGCACTTGCGTGAAACATTCTTTTTAAATGCTTCTCACAAGTGATAAGGCACTGTTATCAAATGTTATTTTTTTTAATGACATTCCTGAATCCACAAACAATGGATTTAAAAAAATGGATAAAAGAACCATTTTAGGAGGAAACCATCTAATCTTGGGTTCAGATGGTGAGAAACAGCAGCTTTCTCCCCTTAGCATCTCATATCCCGCCTTTCACAATTAATTTAACAGTGACCCATTCGCTGCCTCTTTGTGTTCAGTTAGTACTCAGTTCATGGTTTAACATGTTGATTGCTTCCTAATATCTTTGGCTTTGTCATCCTGTGTAGGAGTTTCTCGAACATAACTGGAATACTTCTGATAGACACACCTGAAAGCCCCAAGGAACCAATTCATTGATCTGAGGGATTGCTAGTGTCCTGAAGAATGAGCAGACAGTTACCTGGACTCCAAGGTGAATACCCAATTACAATCTTATGATTGAAAATCAAATGAAAGGACTGTGTAGGATTCCAACGCTCACCAACAGAATAGATAGAGGTGATGAGAATGAAGCTCTCTTTCTGTGTGCAAAGACTATCACAGTGACTTGCCTGTATCAGTGTGGGGGTAAGGATTGACTTTTGGTGAAAGAAATGCCTGGATTCATTGCCCCTTGTGCAAGCAAGACTGTCCTCTCCCTTCTTCCATCCACTTCACCCGCAAAATATACAGTCAATTCACTTCACAGTGCATCTTGTGAAGCGCTTCGAGACGTCTCAGAGACGTGATAAGGCGCCGTATCAAATGCCAGGATCACCCACCACTGGAGGTCACGCTTTCAGCCACTACGCCCCGAAGCTCTGGAACACTCTCCCGCAATGCCTCCGCCTCGCCCCCTCGCTCCCCTTTTTCAAGTCCCCATCTGAAAACCTTCCTTTTCGACTGTGCTCGAAGTCACCTCCTACCCACCACCGCCCCCCCCCCCCCCCACCCGCCCCCGCCGCGGCTTGGAATCAGTCTCCGCCACTGTTAAAACAACCTGAGACGCTACCCCAGGCGGAGGTGCAAGTTGTTGTGGTTCTTGTTAACCTTAAATGGCCCGGTGTGGGGGGGGTGGGGTGGGGGGGGGATGAAATGAAGATGAACTAACAGCAAAGCCATAAAAGAGGTGGTGGGTGAAGGAAGCTCCATTTCAACCTGTTCCCTCCACACACACACACATACACAGTACAGTACAGTAACAGTAACAGTAGACACTGGGAGTCTCTGAGAGAGAGTGAGTGAGAGAGTGAGAGAGAGAGAGAGAGAAAAAAAAGGCTGATCTGATCACGTCCGTCTGCGATTATTGATTAACATTGGAGGGGTTTTTTTTTAGCTGCATTTCCGGGGGGTGGCGTTTTAAAACCGTGTCCATGCGATGGGGAAGAGAAGGAAAGGAGAGACAGACACACACACACACACACTGGAGAGACTTATCAGTATTCTGCCATTTGATTATGCAAATCTCTCAGACGAAGGAGAGAGCGACTGAGCAGCTCAGCTTTGTGCATTTGGGCTGAGGTTTCTCCCCAACACAGCACAGCTCAGCACAGCTCAGCTCAGCTCAGCTCCAGGGCAGGATCACCCCCTCCCTCACCCCCTCTCTCACCCCCTCTCTCTCTCTCTCTCCCTCTCTCCCTCTCTCTCTCTCTCCCCCCTTCTGTTCCTCTGTGTTTCTAACAAAGTAGCTCCACAGATGTTGTAGAAAGCCACACAGTCCATTGGAAAGGGACAGAGAGAGTGAGTGAGTGAGTGAGAGAGAGAGAGAGAGAGAGAGAGCATCTGATGTAGTCAGGACTTTTAGAGTACAGTTGGTCCTGTGGTTGGCATCTCCCCCCCTCCTCACTCCCCCTCCTCACTCCCCCCCTCCTCACTCCCCCCTCCTCACTCCCCCCCTCCTCACTCCCCCCTCCTCACTCCCCCCTCCTCACTCCCCCCCCTCCTCACTCCCCCCTCCTCACTCCCCCCCCTCCTCACTCCCCCCTCCTCACTCCCCCCCTCCTCACTCCCCCCTCCTCACTCCCCCCCTCCTCACTCCCCCCCCCTCCTCACTCCCCCCCTCCTCACTCCCCCCCTCCTCACTCCCCCCCTCCTCACTCCCCCCCCCCCCCCTCCTCACTCCCCCCTCCTCACTCCCCCCCTCCTCACTCCCCCCCTCCTCACTCCCCCCCTCCTCACTCCCCCCCTCCTCACTCCCCCCCTCTCCTCCTCCTTTAGGTGCACACTTTTTCCTGTGCCTTTCCCTCTGCACTTCGGTGACAATGGACCCACAGAGGGGAAGCGGTCGGACCTCCCTCCTCCATGTCCTGGTGCTGCTGCCTCTCGCCGCCGACATCTGCTCCTCCGTCTGTCCGGAGCGGCGGCTGCAGTCCCGGGAACAGGCGGCCAATGTGGTCTTAACGGGGACGGTGGAGGAGATCGTCAATCTGGATCCGGTGCTCGATACCTACTCCTGCAAGGTCAGCCCGGGGGGGGGGGGGGGCAGCCCGGGGGGGGGGGGGCAGCCGGGGGGGGGGCGGGGGGGGGGCAGCCCGGGGGGGGGGCAGGGGGCTGGGGGGGGCAGCCCCGGGGGGGCAGCCTGGGGGGGGGGGCAGGGGGAGGGGGGGAGAGTGGGGAGAGGGGGAATGGTGCATTGCAATTCTTGCACTCAATAAACTCATTTAAACGCCTTCAGTGTGAGTGTGTGTGAGGGGGTGGGATTGGGGGGGGGTTAGTGTTGGGTGGGGGTGGGGGTTAGTGTTGGGGTGGGGTTAGTGTTGGGGTGGGGGTTAGTGTTGGGGTGGGGGTTAGTGTTGGGGTGGGGGTTAGTGTTGGGGTGAAGGTGGGGGTTAGTGTTGGGGTTGGGGTTAGTGTTGGGGTTGGTGTTGGGGTTAGTGTTGGGGTTGGGGTTAGTGTTGGGGTTAGTGTTGGGGTGGGGGTTAGTGTTGGGGTGGGGGTTGGGGTTGGTGTTGGGGTGGGGGTGGGGTGTGGGGGTGGGGTTAGTGTTGGGGTTGGTGGGGTGGGGGTTAGTACTGGGGTTAGTGTTGGGGTGGGGGTTAGTGTTGGGGTGGGGGTGAGGGTGGGGGATTAGTGTTGGGGTGGGGTTAGTACTGGGGTTAGTGTTGGGGTGGGGGTTAGTGTTGGGGTGGGGGTGAGGGTGGGGGTTAGTGTTGGGGTGGGGGTTAGTGTTGGGGTGAGGGTGGGGGTGAGGGTTAGTGTTGGGGTGGGGGTTAGTGTTGGGGTGAGGGTTAGTGTTGGGGTGGGGGTGGGGGTGGGGGTGAGGGTGAGGGTGAGGGTGAGGGTTAGTGTTGGGGTGGGGTTAGTGTTGGGGTGAGGGTGGGGGTGGGGGGAGAGCACTTATTGTACCGCTGAATTTAAAACGTGGGGAAAAATGGTTTAGTTTTATTTCATAAAACCCCAACAGAGTATTCAGAGTACAACTGTCTCTCCAGATATGGGTTCTTTTTAAAAAAAATCACAGCGTTGTTCAAAATACATGAAGTTTCTTAACCTTTGATCTTTAAATGCCTTAAGTACTTTTTTTCAGGGGGGAGAGGGGGGGAGAGGGGGGAGAGAAGGGGGGGAAGGGGGAAGAGAGGGAGAGAGGGGGGGGAAGGGGGAAGAGAGGGGGAAAGGGGGGGAGAGGGGTGGGGGTGGTGGGGGAGAGGGGGAGAGGGGTGGGGGGGGGGGAAAGGGGGGGTGTGGGGGTGTGGGAGAGGGGTGGGGGGGAGGGGGAAAGGGGGGGGGGAGAGGGGTGTGGGGGTGTGGAGGTAAGTACACAGATGTTATTGTGGGAAAAACGCTTTATGTGATCAACAGTTGAACCACGTCTTGGGATTCTGTGCGGAAGTGTAGGGTTTAATATCTGCGCTAAATTAGCTCTGTTGGGATTTAGGAACGTTCTGTGTGTGTGAGGGGTGGAGGGTGGGGGGGGATAGGGAGGGTGGGAGGGGGTGATGGGGAGGATGGGGGTTGGGGGGTGATGGTGGGGGGTGGGGGGTAAAGCTTCCAGTGGTGGTGGAGTTTTCAGATCAGTTGTGTGCAGTCGGGATTCCTATCTCAGTCACCACTCCTGGAGGAAGGTCGGTGCTGCAGCTGAAGTGAACGTGGCTCCAGGGCATGAGAGCTCTCACAAAGAAAAGACAAGTCATCAAATACTGTATCAGCAACAGCACTCACCCACCCACCCACCCACTGCCTCCCTCCCTCCCTCCCTCCCAACCCAGTGAGCTGTGCCCCCAGTAAAACCTTGTGGTTCCTCTCCCCCCTCCCACCCACCCACCCACCTAAAACAACTAAAACAACACCGAAAAATAGTTTACAAGTCTTGCAGCTCAGTGGTCAGAGCGCTCGCCTCGCAAGCAACTGGACCTGGGCTCGATTCCCGGGCGCGGCAAAATGTTGGGAAAGTCGCCTTACTCCGTCCGCACTCCTCGGTTTACCGAGCAGCAAACGGGAACCCGGTTGTCAGTCGATTGGCGGGGGTGGCCGCTCCGGGGGTAATAACCCCCTTCAAAATCAATTGGCCATTCGGTTCGTGACCGTTTGTGGGACGCTGCTGCGCTCAATTGGCTGCCGTGTGTCGCCCACAAAATATCCAGTCGATGCGCTTTGCAGCATATCCCGTGGAGCGCTTTGAGGTGCCTCCGAGACTTGATGAGGCTCTGTATCAAATGCAAGGGTTATTATTGCATTGTTAGAACCTGGGTTCCGGCACTCCTTCGGATCGGTTTTAAATTGAATTAGCCATTTTTTTTAAAAAGTCGTCTGTGATTTAAACCGAAGGTCATTCAAATCAAAAACTTTTATTTGTTCTACTGTGGCACTTACAGTACAGTACACTTACCTACTATACCAGCATTCAAAGATCAGGTCTAGGTTGTGGTTTATCCCTCTCTTTTCTCGATGACTGCTTTTTGCCCCCACCCTCCATAGACTCTGTGGATACCATTCCCTCCCTTGACTCCCTTGGAGTCCTGTAGCTCAGTGGTTAGAGCACTCGCTTTGCAAGCGAGAGACCTGAGTTCAATTCCAGGCAGAGGGCGAAACCTTGGGCAAGTTTCCTTACTCCACACAGAGCCTAATAATAATCCCTCCAAAAACCCAAAACAATAATAAATTGGTCATTTTCAATCTACGACTGTTTGTGGGACATTGCTGTGCGCAATTGGCTGCCGCGTTCGCCCACAAATATACAGTCAATTCACTTTACAGTGTGTTCTGTGAAGCGCTTTGGGACGTCCTCCCGACGTGAAAAGCGCTATATCAAATGCAAGGATTATTATTATTATTATTATTGACCGACTGGTGCACCTATTGCTCTCTCTTGAGTGACACTCACTCCTCTCTCCCTTTCTGATAAAACCCTGAATTTTTTTTCTTCTATCCGCCCCAAGACCCCACCACCCCACCCCGCACTCAGGACTGTGTTGGTCATAGTATTGCCCAGTGTGAGACTAAGCCATTCCGAGCTGGAAAGTCCCAGGATTGATGCCGTTTTGCGTTGACTAATTGGCTGTTTATATTACAGGCTACTAGTAGCCTGAGGCTGTTGGTGTTGGATTCCTGACCAGTTTACATTACTGGGGCAGAATCCAAAGCACCAGTGGCAACTTGGAACTGACTGCACGTGTGCTAACCTGTATGTTGGGGTCACAAACTTCATCTGACATAGTTGTTCTATGTTATAAAAATTACAGCCCCGAAGTGAGACGAATCAATGATATTTGGGGGGAGGGAAAATTATATATTTTTTTGCTCTCTCTGGATTTCCTTATCTCCGATAACAGCAAACTGTTTTGCTGACTTGGAGCTGTGAGAATAATAATAATCCTTGCATTTGATATCACGCCTTATCACAACTTTGAGACATCTCTAAGTGCTTTACAGATTATACTGTAAAGTGAATTAACTGTATATTTTATAGGTGAAATTGCTTCCTCCCACTCCACCCATACCTCTTCCATTAGTTTAGTGTGTCGCTGTTTACACGTGAAGGATGGCCAATTTGGTGTACAAGAAGTGCAGATAACAGTGGAAACGTATCTCAGTGTGAGCCAGCACCTCCAGGGAGAAGGTCGGGGGTGGCGGGGAGGAGGGGGCAGAAAGAAGGAGCTTGGATTTTTGTCATTCCATTCCACCTCAGAAGTCTGAAAACTTTACAGAAATGATTACCTGGGGTGGTGACTATTTTGGGCTGGCAAATGCAGCAACATAAAGCAAAGGTGCACACACAGCCATGATTAACGTGTTGGCCAAAGACATTGAGTGAAACTCCCATTCTCTTCTTGAATAGTGCTATGGGATCTTTAATGTCCATCTGAATAGAGAAATGGAACATTTTTGTTTAAACATCTCATCCTGAGGGACAGCACCTCCCTCCCTCCCTCCCTCTCTCTCTCCCCCCCCCCCAGCGCTGCACTGGAATGTGTGCAAGTTCCTGTGTAATGCTTGAATCATAATCTTCTGACCCAGAGGTGAGAGTGCAACCAGTTGAGCCAAGATGACACTGACTGACTGGCATTGGGGCCAGCAGATAAAACGATCGTGCTTCTGTGCAGCTCAAAGGCACAGTGGAAAACTCCTAACCTTCTGTGCAGTCGCCCCCTAAGGAAAATGCTTTGTGCTCGCCCTTTTTATTTCCCCACCTCTCCCAAGGGCAGTGACTCACACTCTGTGGGTGTGAGTAGCCTTCATGTTACTTTGCCCCCAAGGTTTTTGTGATTAATCCTTGATGGTGAGTATCAACAGGGTGTTCGGGCGGGGAGAGAGGTCGTCATCTCACAATCAATTTACAGTTAATTCTGTCCACTTGACATCCACCGATTGCACTTCTCTGAAGCGCTGAAAAGGCAGAGGATCAGGAATAGGAGCTCGAGCTAGTTCATACTTGTAATTTTGTGGTTGTGTTGATTCCACCTCCAACCCAGGGACATGAATCAGTTGTACTTAGAATCTAATCAATCTTCTCATTTCATTGGCACCTTATCAATTCCTTGGGATGCCAGAAGGATTTATTGTAAAATGTAGTGACTGTATTTTATAGGTGAACGTAACAGCCATTTTGCGCACAGCAATGTCCCATAAACAGCCATTGAAGTGAATGACTAATTTTATCTGGTGTATTGCTCCTGCCTGAAGACAAATCAGATAGAATCTGGACCGTGCTAGTCTGTATTTCGATACGTCTTTGAAGGATATATATTATATATATATATAAACTGCGGGAGATGTGACCTGGAGTGACACAGGATTTCTAAACATTGAATCAATGACAACTTGCATTTATATAGGACCCTCCACGCAGGATAGTGTCTCGGAGTGCTGCATAATAGTGGCTGGGGTTGTATCAAGGGATACGGGTCCAGGGCGTGCAATTGAAGTTGTGGTGCAGATCAGCCATGATCTTAAACAATGGCGGAACAGGCTTGAGGGGCCGAATGACCGACTCCTGACTCCATACTGAGCGAGGGAGGAGGGAGAAGTGACCATTGTGGGGGGGGGGGGGGGGGTGAGGTAGGTGGGATTCCTGACAGTCACCGAATTGATCTGCGTTGTGGTCCGAGCAGGTCAGCACGCTCCACATCCCGTTATCAGCATTTAATATTTACCAATACACCATCGATCTAGGTGTGTGTGTGTGTGTGTGTGTATAGATAGATACATGTGTCATCGGTGGCCTCCGATCCACCTTGTAAAGGCAATCCAGGAATGCCAAACATTGCACTAGCCTTTCAGATTGATATTGCAGCAGTGATCTTCCTTTCCCAGAAAGGTTGGAATTGGGCTGCGTTATTTCTTTCGACCGTGGTATTTTATAAACTCCCGGAAGCTAAAACGGGATTCATTTGGAATGGCCGGCAACGTATTGTTCTGGGTGTCATTTTTTTCAGATTTTCCAGTGTTTGTGTTGCTCGCTTGTCTGGCTGCTGCCAACGTGCCCATGTTGTGTGAGTGGGCAGCCGGGATGGAACACTGTGAAGTGGAACTGAAGAAATCAGAAGCCAGTTAGCTCTTATCGGTGGCCTCAGCACTCTTGACCAGTCGGGAGTGACTCTTGGCAGTGAGAAGAAGCATCTTTGGCTTGTTGAGAGACGAATTGAGCCTCCAGCCAGCCGACAGCTGCAGTGCGCCAGGTCACCAGGCAGCCAAAGTGTCCGGACATGACTCTGGTGGGAGCCCTGATCAATGCAGAGTCAACGGATCTTGGCCGGGGCAGTGTAGACAGGAGAAATCAGCTGATGGTCTTCTTTTGTCCACAAAAACCTGGATTCTCTCTGGTTATGTAGCTCAGAACCGAGCTGTGAGCTTTCACGTCTAAACGGCAGGTGTGTGTGACTGGACAACTTGGGATGGAAACTCGGAAGCAGAGTCTCCCACCAAGAATGGATGCTGCTTGTTGAAGCCAGTCGTGGATCCCCTCGGCTGCCTCTGTGAGATCAGCTGATGCAACACAGAACAGGAATGGAACGCAGCCCCCCTTCTGTGACTCGGTAGCTGGTATACACAGACCTATGGGAGGGGAACCGCAAAATAGAATGATTATTTCACAGTTTCCTGTGTGGTAGCGTTTGATTTGGCCTCTACTTTGTGGGAAGAAGATCTTTCACATTTTCTCAAGTCCTCAGCAGTTCTGACCCATCAAACCACAAAGATTAGAGGGAGCAAAGCTTGCATTTTTGGAGTTGCAAGTCTTAGAGGCCTTCAGATTGGAGGAACGTTGCTTTAAAGAGTCCCACCCCCTCCCCAAGCCAACTATCCTCCAGATTAACTTTTATCTCTGCCTGTTTGGTGAAACCTTGTTGTTCTCCGGTGGTTGCTGTGTTTTGCTAGAGCAACGTCCTTTGCTTGTCAGTCGTTAGCACTTTCAGACGGTTCAATGTGCGCTATAAACATACGCTTTGTCACAGGCATTTTCAGTTGTGTACCAAATGACTCAGCGATCCAGGAAAGCGGTGTCAGCTGAGTGTATTGTACTATTGTACTTTCTCCCCCCCACCCTTACCTGTTCAGGCCTTGTACTGAAATGTCTCTGCTAATTTGGCAGATGCACTGTATTTGCTTGGAAGGCACTTGTTTACTCTGGGACCCATGGATAGTGCTTTCCTGTCCTGTGTTTACAAAGATCTGATGACCTGTGAGATTACACAGGCTACACCTCCATTTCATTGCGAGGATGAAACGTTTCATGTGCGATTTGTTGTTTACATGTGACCCCAACCGACCGCGGGGGAGGAGGGATCTGTTTCTGTTCTGATTCAGTTGAATTCAGGGCAATTGACACTGGTGCATTTTCTTATTTTTGCTTCCTGGAGAGTGCGGCAAACCTTCCCGTATCCTTGGCCATGTGGGAGGCTCTTTGTGTAGCTTAGGCTCTAAGTACAGTGCTGGTAGATTGTGTGTATGTGTGCTAGGGAAGGAGAGTAGAGGCCACTGTGATCCTGTCTTCACCCAATATGCAGTCACATGTAGCAAAGGTTACTGAATATCAATTAAGAGCAAAAAAATTGTATTCTCCCTCACCAGTCTCGGTTTGGATTATTGTGTTCAGTTTGGTCGACAAATCAACTCGCCTTGAAGGGTGTCCATCAGTAAATCACTAAATGAATACTTAGGAAGAATGGGGTCTGCTACGGTGAGAGGCAGGGTTAGATTCCTTACAGCTGAGGAGTTTAAGGGGTGTTGTGTACTGAAGGCAGTTGATGAGCTAGAAGATTAACGGATGTCTCGCCTCTACTAGGGAATCCCAAGAAACACAAACTTTGAGCTAAGCCTGTGAGAAACGAGGTTGGAAAAGGTTTCTTCGCACAGAGGCTGTGAGAATGTGGCATGCACTAGAGATGGAATCAATTGAGACGGTTGGGGTGGGGGGTGGGGGATGACAAACATTTGAAGTAAGGATATGCAGAATAAGTGAGGAAATAGGATTGGAAGATGTGCCATGATCTAATCAACTAGTACAACAGGGTTGACTACTGAACAGCCTTTCTGCTCTTTAAGTGGCGAGCCAGCAACAGTAACTTGCATTTATATTCACAGGTTAGCCTTGGAGAGCTTAACTGTGGCGGAAACTTAATCCTGTGGGCCAATATCTTAGGCTATTAAGCAGTAGGAGAAATGGACAATTAAGACAAATTGCTACAGAAACCTCTTTTTGACTGCATTGGCTATGAGACATGTATGCTTCCTGACCTTTACATAGTTTTACAGTACTGGCTGATGGACTGATCATTTGAGATCCAAGTCCATAAACCTACTTGGATTAAATTGTGGTTTTGTCTAGTGATGTTGTGTACTTTGCTCAGTGAAGAGAGCATTAAAGTCTTCTATGACAGCTCAGAGTAATTCAGTGAATATCTTAGACTGGTTTTTGAGACAGCTGATCCCAGCTGGTGTGACATGAGCATGGGAATTGGCTGTTGTCTCGCTGAGCCAGTGAGGGCAAAATCAGACAGGATTCAAACCCATTTGACTCGGAGGCGAGAGTCCTACCACTGACTCTTTTCAAGTGCCTTTAGAAAAGGAGACACAGAAGGGAAGATATTAGTGCGGGAAGGGAAGGAGGATCACAACTGAGCCAAATAAATATTGATGCATTCCTTTCCCTCCCTCTTTTTTTCCCCTCCCTCCCATAATATGATCCTGTAAGTTATTGGTCAGAAACTGGACGGTTTGTGCGTCGGCCGAGAACTGGCCTTAATTTAGATTTTGTTCTGTTTGGCAGGTGCGGGTGTGGAGGTACTTGAAAGGCAAAGAAACCCTGAAGAACGAGCTCCTGTTGGATGGCAACAAGGTGATGATTTGCGGCTTTGGCGATCCCTCAATCTGCGACAACCAGGTGTCCACCGGCGACACGCGGATATTCTTTGTGAACCCGGCTCCAGAGTTCATGTGGCCGGCTCACAAAAACGAGCTGATGCTGAACTCCAGCCTCATGAGGATTACCCTGAGAAACCTGGAGGAGGTGGAGAACTGTGTGGAAGGTAGGTCCTCGCTCTTTTTTTGTGCATTTGTTTCATCAAAACTTTTAAGAGCTCGGGGGTGAACTTCCTCAGCCAAACGCTATATCAGCGTCAATTATATTGTATTAATACAATATAAGACGGTCAGTGTTGTGGTAGCTGATCTCAGCCAGGGCAGCATTCTGGATTGCTGCAGTTGGCCCCAGCTCCCAGTTTAGAGAGGAGAAGCTCCCTGATTGCTATCCAGCGAAATATTTCTCCCTTAGCCTTGTGATATACCAATCCTGGGTGAGCTTCAAGCGGGTTCCCCTGATGTTTCAACACACTTGGATCGCCTGCCTGCCTGCTGGCTAATATCCATGATGGAATAATGAATGCTCAGGTGAGAGTCTCCAGGGCACCTGTGGAACCGCAGCCGGGAAAAGGGAGAAAGGGAGTGAAATGCCTTCAGCCGGGAAAGTAAAAAGCATTGGTTTTCTTTTAAAAAAAATCTTACGCATCTCCTTTTTGTCTGGCAGAATTTGTAGCGCTCTCTGGAGCGAGTGCGTTCCGTGCCAGTGTTTGTACAGAAAGGTGGTTGCAGAGCCTTTCCAATTAGGAGCAGCTCGGCATTGCTCCGAGCTGCTACCCCATGGATTTCACAGAGCTGACAGCAACGGTGGATGTGCTGTACGTGAGCAGTTGTTTCAAAGTCTTGCTTTTGTCCTTTCATCTTCTGGCTACCAGCCACTCAGTGGCTCCTGAGCGCAGTTTATATACAGAACCAACAGTGTGAAACTGCCCCACTGTGCCCAGGAGGGGGTGGAGGTGAAGGTGAAGTTGGGAAGAAACGAGACTCACTTAGTTCCTAGTTTGCAGTTGCCATTCTTTGTTTCAGACGATGGAGGCAGGGTTTGATCAGAATGATGTCTGGTGAAGCTGCACTGAAATGCCACGATTGGCAATTGAAAATAACAGCAATACAATATTTATATAGCGCCACTCACGCAGGATAAAGTCCCAGAGCTTGACAGTAGAGGAGCCTGACCCCGAGGAGGTGGGGGAGGGGGGCGTTGGGGAAGAAGAAGGGGGAATGTGAGTGTCTTCTGTGTCAGGAATCCCTTCTTGGTTAATCATATAATAACAATAATCCTTGCATTTGATACAGCGCCTTATCACGTCTTCAAGACGTCTCAAAGCGCTTCACAGAATATACTGCAAAGTGAATTGACTGTGTATTTTGTGGGCGAAACTCTTAAAGATGGGGCACTGCCATCAATGTCCGTGTTAGCGTTTAGAGAGGAAAAGCCGCAATGTAAATGTGGGAACAGAGTTTGTTCTGAAGGTTTTGCAGTGGCTCTGACCCTGAGGTGGAGAAGCCGGGAAGCCAGAGGGCTATTGATTGATGGGAGGAACAGAGTGGTGTGGACAGGTTATAATTGTGGCAATCGTGCTTGTACTGGCAGAACTATAAGAAATGCTTTTAATAAGGCAACGAAGCACAGTGTATTATTAAAATAAAAAAAAGTAAAGGATGTCATTTAATCTTCTGTTTAGGCTCCAGCCAGTAATGCCATACATTTATAAGCATGTTGTAATTACGTGAGCTACATCTGTTCTGTGTCATCTCTGCTTAAATTGGTTAGGTTGAGAATCGTTCTTTTCATGGAGCAAAGAATTGTAGGATTGATGAAATCCTCAATCTCTGTTTTAAATGTAAGAAGTTACAAAACAAAAAAAATGCCTTCAGCTGGTACTGTAAAAGGCTGTGTCGCTGTTGAGACACAGGCTACGAGTTCTTCTGAAAGGGAATTAGATATTTGAAGAGGAGGCATATTATCGGGTTTGAGGAGTGAGTGGGAGGGTGAGATCACACAGTGCACGTTTTAATGGGCTGTGCGACTTGATTTGTGTTTTGTTCCTTGAATTGGCTTTGAGTTATTCTGGGCTAGGGATGCTCAGTGTATTACTTATTAACTTCACTTAATCAGAAAATGTTACAGGACAGAAATCGCCACTTGATTCATCAAGTTTGCACTGGTATTCTCTACACAAACCACCTAATTTAATGCCGCTGTCCTGCTTACTCCCTTCGCTTTTTAATATATATTCCTTTTCTCTGAGCAACAGTCTAATTCTAAGGAATTTCTGGACTCCGACAACGGTTTGCAGCAGAGAATTCCACATTCCAACCACCTTCTAATCTCCTCTTCACTTCTTTTTGTGACCGTCATAAATTTGTGGCCTGCGGTTGCTGCCTCACTGACCAGTGGAAATAATCCATTACTGTTTACCCTTTGATAACCCTTCAATATCTTGAAGGTCTCTTATCAGATCACCCCTTAACCTTCTCACTCGAGTGAAAAAAGCTTCCACGTCTGACATTGTTCTGGGTAACTGCAATGGTTTGCAATGGTTTGTAATGCCCTCAATTCCGATTGAAAATCAAACGCAGTAAAGCCTGGTTCCTTTCGACAACTCAGTGCCACAACAATGAGCATTTGCATTATGGCTGTTTGCGGGACATGACTGTGTGCAAATCAGCTTCTGTGTTTGCTTACAAAATACAGAATACAAAATACAGTAATTCCTGTGAAGTGCCTTGCAACGTCTCAACGATGTGATGTGCAGTATTAGAATGGAAGGATTATTATACCACAATGCATGGTGCATTTATCCTATGAGTCATCATACAAACCAAGCAATTTAGTTTTTATTTAAATTGACTCATTTGTACGGAGAAGAGTAAAGAGTACAGAGTGCAATAAAAGCCATTAGCTCAATGTAGCTGTGTTTTGGCTGAAAAATTGCTAGGATGTCTTTAATCTGATTAAGTGCATGGCGGTGTATTTCATATTGATGGCTGTGTCTTGTAGAAGGGACAAGGCAGCTTTTCTTGAAATGAGTTTTATATTAACATTTGTTCTTCGTCTCTTGGGGTGTTTAAAGCTCAAACGCATAATTGTGCAAGAGTGACATTAAGCAACACGGTATGTAAGCTGAATTTGATTTGTGACCGTGTGAAGCGAGCTAACACTTCAGGAAATAACTTTCCACATTTGTTTCAGCTCCTTACAGTCCTGTCCAATTTCTTCCTTCTCCTAAAGGCACTGACTTAACTCAAGAGCTTGTCTGTCCCCTGGGTTCTGGTCCCCGACTGGTAGCAGAGGCTAATTAATGATTAATCCTTGCCTTTTGATATAATTAACACCTCTCCTGTCAGAAAGAAATCTTGAAGCAGCAGCCGTTTGAAACTGCAGCAGATTTCAATGTCGCAAAATGGACAGTGGTTCAGGGCATCCTCTCTCTGAGCTGATTATTGTTCCTCACCACTTATTGTTTGCCATGTCGTTCTGTTCTACCACAATGCTCTCCGTTAGTTGGCAAGTGTTCACGTTTGCTGTAAATCCTTTGGTTAGTTGTAATAGAAAGTTTGTTGTCATTATCTAAGGCATTTCTCCTGACTGTGACTGCCGGTGAGGGGGAAATGAGTGCTGTGTCTCGTATAACATAATACTCAGACGAGAAGCGCCAAACATTTAGCTTTTCTCTTTGTGTTTTGGTTCGATGCCATTCTGGCCCAGTCGGTAGCTCTCTCGCCTCTGAGTCAGAAATTTGTGGTTCAGATCCCTCGTAGGGAAGTTTGCACTCACGAGTTTGGACTCACTCCCAGTTCCAGCGCAGCGCTGTACATTGTCAGAGGTGCTGTCCGTCAGATGAGATGTTAAATAAACCTGTTTAGGTGGATGTTAATGTTTTTAACCGTTTTTTGGAAAAAAAGAAGGGAGTCTCTCCCAGTGCTCCTGACTCAAGGTTACCCCAAATTAAAATTGATCATTCACTTCATGGCTGTTTGTGGGACACTGCTGTGTTAAAATTGGCTGCTGCATTTGCTTACAAACAGTTATATTTTACAGTAAAATCCTGTGAAGCGCTTTGAGAGGACTTGATAAGACCCTGTATTGAACGCAAGGATCTGTGAGGGTTTACACCAGAGGCCTGAACATTTTCATGGTTTTATCCTTAAGGGACTTTGTCTTACACTCTTAAGATTGTGCAGAATTTTGGAGAAATTCTCTAATTCAGTCTTAATTTGGAAGCTGTTTTCTTGCAGCTGTTAAAAATTAAACGGACTTGCAAATGAAGGTGGAATTGAAATGCTTCTCCATCGGGTTTTAAGATGATGGTCTTTCATCTTAAGACATGGAGGAATATCAGGTCTCGGGAGAGGGAGTAAAATGGTTTACTGTGGCTGTGTTGGGAGACCTAAATGTTATCTTCCTACCAGAGAGATATGTGCAAGGATAACATGCAGCTTTCACTGCAGGGCGAGCAATATAAAAGCTCTTTAACATCTTTAAAGGGATGTAATGGATACAGGTTTTTTTAATGGGTCACAAAGCTCTCGAGAGTTTCATAGCTCTGTTACACGGAGCTCTTGGCAAATCCTGAGAGGTAAGTTTTTAGTGTTGACCTACAAAAAAGTTTCTACCCTTGAACTGGGGCGACACTTTTCTGCTGGGAAATTCTTAATGTTTGTATCAGAATCGAATGTTTTTTTTTCTTGAATAAATTCATTGATTTTGGAGTTTCTAAATTAAAAGCATATCTATGGAGTGAGAGATGGCTTGGGGGCTTCTAAGGCTTCTCAATATCTGACACTGCGGTGAAGTAAGGACTGACACAAATTCTTCAATCAACACAACGACAACAACGTGCATTTATATAGCGCCCCTCACACCGGACAGTATCTCGGAGCGCTTAAATCGATCAATAATTAATAATCCAAATTAACAAGGTTATGCAAGTTGCATCAGTTAATTAATCAAAAGTAGTGCTTACTTACATTTAGTACAATTCACAACAGTTAAGTATAACAGTTTGGCTGAACCAAATGTTGCGGAAGAGGTGGAGGAGGAGTTGTCTGTCCGATCACCAAAAGGTATTCAGGTCCTGTTGTACCTCTGTTGGCTGGTGAGCATCGATTAGAGAAGTTGACAGTCGTCTAAGCCTTTGTTTTGATCTCCTAAGACTTAGACGAC